TGATTTCAGGTCTGAATCATCCACTTAGGATCAGTGACATGACTCAGGAGAAGACACTCATATTCTCATCTGAGTCCTTGAAAAGATCTTTGCAGGCTTCTGCTTGCCACATCCATCACAACCAAGCAGATTTTCCAAAACCATCAAAAAGCCAGAGTTTCCCAGTACTCTGCAGGAACCCTGACCAAGAGAGCAGCTTCTGGACAGAAGAATTCTGCTTTCTTTAAGCACAGCTCCTTCATGACGCTTCTAGCCAGGCCACCAASTGCCCTTGGAGAGCTTGTGGCCACCCAGGTGTTCATGGCCAGGGACAGGACTGTGAGTGAACCACCAGGCTGTACCTGAAGTAGAGGAAGAAGATGGTGCAAATGGATGCCAAAGCCGAGATCAGGCAGCCAACGTAGGTTATGATGCTCAGGTAATTCCTGTGCACGGCGGTGATCTCTGGGGAGGACACCTGAGGAGGAGGAGGAATGGGAGATGGTGAGGAAGGGCAGCCAGTGGGAGYGGTGTGGGGATCTGAGGGAAGGCTGTACCCACCATGAGCACAGCGAAGTAGGTGAGGTGGTTGCACCGGCACTCTGTCTGGCTGCTCCCCGGCACTGTGGTGCACCCATAGCTGTCCCAGCTGCCAGAACTGGCTGTGCAAGAGAAAGGGAGAACATCTGGTGAGCAGCAGCAAATCTGCCTGGGGCTAAAGGATCTTCAGGGCAAGGTGTTCATGGAAAAAAGGAGAGAAAGAGTGGGGGATTCCAGCTTATCCAAGGCAAAGCACCCACACTCAAATAGCCCCCTCAGCATGARAACCCATCCCTAGGGAAGGAGAAAGCTCTCAGGTTCGCTATGGAGGAAAAAACCTGACATCAGCCCTGTGGGAATGGCTTATGGGGATGGAATGAGGAAGAAAGGTGCAAAGCAACCTTCACCCTGCTGGTGGGGCTGTGGTACCTCGGATAAAGGGCCTGACTGCACACCCAAGGGTGGGGCACTCACCAGAGGTGTCCTCCTGCCAGAAGACGCACAGTGGGCTCACGTTCCTCTGCAACGACAAAAGCACAGGCCCTGGTCAGGAGGCAGCTCTGGGTTTGTTACCTGTCCAGCACATTTGATAGGGGACAACACAGGACAGGGGGCAAGAGGGTCTCAGGAGACGAATTGTGACTTTGATAAACCAGATTTTCCCTGTGGTGGGAGTGGTGGGCTCCAGGCTGAGAGCACAGTTAACAACTATGGAGCAGACAGCTCCTTCCAGGAGCTGGTAAAGTATCTGAAAGAAAAGTACAGTGACAACTCTAATGCAATGGGTTGGGCCCTGGTATATGTTTATGGCACAATAGTAGATACTAGAGTGCAGCAAGGTAAATCAGTGGACACCCCAGTCCCTCAGCGTGCAGCCAAACCAGATGGGGATCCTGAGTTGCTCCCATCACAAGAAGCATGAAACACAAATTCAAAACCAATCGCCCAGCAGATGATGATGATGGAGGAGAAGGACCCTCAAGGCCAGCAACTGACTCAGAATCAGAAACCATCACTGAGTCCATGACCGTGAGAGACCTGCGCGGCCTAAGAAAAGATTATGTTCAACGAAAGAATGAATCTGTAATTAGTTGGTTAGTCTGTCTTTGGGACACTGCAGGAGACACTACAATAATGGATGGTGTTGAGGCAAGGCATTTGGGAAACCTGTCACAAGATTTGG